AATGTAAGCTGTCTAGATATATTATAAAAGATATAAGCAGAATCAACTAAATTTCAGCATTGGTTTAACATTAGTATAGGAGATTAGTTAGTACTAGAGATAGTCGTAAAGTAAATCAATCTATGTATAATAAGAGCATAGTCAGTGTCATAATTCGTATTATCAAAGAATACATTAGGCTTAATAACTGAGTGTTATAAGGGAAATAAGAGCGGTAAACCAAGTGAACATTTGACACATAAGTCATTTGGTCGTTAATTATTAATAAAGTTACGAGAGTAAATGATTCTGTTAGAATTCATATTTAGGTGATAAATGTGTTTTGTTAAACAGTAGACTGGATGCAAAATGTAGATATTATGGTAGCAGGCCCAAAAATTCGACAGGCCGCGAAGGTCAAGGCCTAAACAGCGTGACTTCATCCCCGTAACGATTCAAATCCGACTGCGTAAGCATGCTAGGCAATTCTACAGATGTAATGACTTTTCATCACTCATTACACTCAGGCAAACTTTGATTCATGCAAATCTAATCAGTTGTCTGAATCCATCAAACTAGAACGCATCCTCCACCCACGACTTGATAATACAGAGGCATTAGTAAAACTAATGAAGTCACGAATTAACAACAACAGTATAAGAATCCCTAACTTATTACTAGATGGAGAAAAACTATACGAAGACCCGAAGGAGATACGCGAGTTATTCAGCTCCCACTTTTCTAGCTACTTTACTAACGAAGAAACAGTAAGTAGTATTGATGTTCCCACAATGCCAAATCAATTTTTGGGTAGTATAACACTCACCCAACAAAAGATTTCCCCGCTACAGCATCCCTCCAGACATCACATAACGCTGGACCTGATAGAATTCCATCTATCTTGTTGAGAAGAGGTGGTGAGGACATACCCATTATCCTACTAAGGTCTTTCAATCTGTCCTTGAATAATGGCAGCTACCCAGAGTGCTGGAAGCTGTCGTTTATAACTAGGACCAACTTCTAATATCGAAAACTACCGACCGATCAATATCACGTCAGTAGTTTCCAGGGTTATAGAAAAAGTTATAGAGACGGATATTGCTTCTTACCTCCACCTTCATAAATTGTTTACTTCAGCACAACACGGCTTCTTGAAAAGTCGGTCATGCGCCACCTGCCTACTTGACTACTTCGATGATGTTACCGCTAACCGTGATCATGATTTGCTTGTCACATCTCTCTTCTTTGACTTCAAAAAAGCCTTTGATAAAGTCCCACACAAGAGACTAGTCCTTAAGCTAAAGTCGTACGGGTTCCAGGAACCCTTGTTATCCTGGCTCATTTCTTTCTTGGAAGATCGTTACCAAGTTGTGAAATTTGCAAATAATTACTCGTCACCCAGACCTACACGATGAGGAGTGATTCAGGGTAGTGTACCAGGTCCACTGCTTTTCGTAATCCACATTAACGACATATGCAGCATAATCAAGCATGGTACCCCATACCTCTTTGCTGACGACTTAAAGATTGTATACAGCTTCCCCCATTCTACAATGAAGGAAGGATTCACACATATTCAAGACGATCTGGATAGGTTACATAACTGGAGCAGTGACTGGCAACTGCCACTCAATTCTGATAAATGTGGTGCCCTGTATTTCAATAACTCCCATCCGAATTTCAGATTACACCTAGGTGACTCTTTTCTCCAAACCATCAATTCCATAAAAGATCTGGGAGTTACCTACTCACAAAACTTAACATTCAGTCAGTACGCAAAAGCACTTGTTTCTAAATGCCGAAGACACACAGGCTTGTTACATCGAAAAATGTACGCAACTGAGGCTAAAGTCATTTTATACAAAGTTATGGTTCGCTCAGTACTTGAATACTGCACAATTGTCCTCGGTTTCATGCATGGGTATGACAGGGTTCGTACTGAAAATATTCAGCGAAGTTTTACGCGACGCCTATTACACAAACATGAAGGACTGACTTGCGCTGATAGGTGCAAAATATATGGACTTCAGCCACTTTGGTTAAGGCGCCTTAAGCTCAACCTTACGTTCCTCTTTCGCCTTTTACACGGCTACATCAAAAGCAGTAATACAAAAGCTTTCAATGATTTACCCATATATACTGTTGGGAATTATGAAAGTACTCTATCCATAACCCGGTACCGGACAAAAGTGCGATCATGTTTCTTCAAAATACAGTACAGTGCATTATGGAACGAACTTCCATTTACTTTACGTAGTTTCCGATCTCCTACCGAATTCCAGCGTCTCCTTAACGAGATCCTGTAAAAAAAGAGCTTCGGTCTACTTATCCATACTTTACCCATATGGGCTGGTCAATTAACTTTAGTACTACAGACCCCAGTGCAATACCCCAACTTGAGTAAACTCATTTTCCCCAGCCACTGTATCGCATCTAAAACGTGATAAAACCAACCCAATCTCGTCGGTGGCACAGTGGTTAGGACTCTCGCCGACCATGCACATGGTCCGGGGTTCGATCCCTTGCCGACGCACACCTGATATCTATGGTCGGTCTGCAAAATTTGGACTACCGATATCCATGCTGAAAATTCCATACTTGTACCAAAAATATAATGTGGAATCAAGCTGTAATCAAATAATAATAATCAAATAAATAATCCCACATGCCTTCACTAAGGTTCCGTTATTCAGCTTATTAGAGACGTCAATGTGATAGGATCCCACATATTTTGGTATTGACTGTTTAAACTTGCATATATGGTATGTTATCATTCTCACACATTTTGGTATTGACTGCTAATTTTGTATATATGGTATATTATCATTCTCACGCATTTTGGTAGTGACTGTTTAATCTTGTATATATGGTATATTATCATTCTCACGCATTTTGGTAGTGACTGCTAATTTTGTATATATGGTATATTATCATTCCCACACATTTTGTTACTGACTGTCAACCTCGCACATATGGTATATTATCATCTCTCACGCACTTTGTTATTGGCTATTAAGATAAATTATTTCAAATGCTGTTAGCTGTCCATATTGTTGTAAAATGTATAAATACCATGGCTTTCTTTATCGTTGTTGCACTTCAATACACAGTCACAGTCCAGCCTTTGTCTTTTGATATTTGCGTGCTTTACTAAGTCGGAAGGTACGACGAGCAGATAGGCAGATTAGTTCAGGCGCAGACAGAATAAGGTGAAAACGTCTTCATTCAATTCCCTACAGTTATAACAAATTGGCGACGGGGTTTACCTTAATTCAGTGCAGTTATAACAAATTGGCGACGGGGTTTTACCTTAATTCATTGCAGTTATAACAAGCAAACGACGACAGTTTTTATTCTGTTCAGCGCAACTATATAACATTTTTGACTGTGTTAATTACAACCCAATTACAATGTCTATCTCTCTGGACGATCTCAAATCTATCTTGCAGCAGCAGCAAGTTCAGAATGAAGCAGCTCAACTAAAATTAATCGAAGCTCTCACTCAGAAGCTGTCCATTCAAGTTCCATCGACATCTCATTCTGACAAATATGAAAGCATCTCAAATTCCATTAGTGAGTTCAACTACGACCCAATATCTGGTCTCGTATTTGATGCATGGTTCAATCGTTACGAAGACGTTTTCCGTATTGAATGCTACATGTTTGATGATGCTGCCAAAGTCCGATTGTTACTAAGAAAACTTGGTACTGTTGAGCACAACAGATATGTTAACTTCATTCTGCCTAAGAACCCACGTGAGTTATCATTCGATGAGACAGTCACCGTTTTATCACAAATCTTTGGTGAACAGTCGTCTGAATTTGGTTCGATTAACACAGTGAAAAGTCCTCCGATCACCGTTAAGCACACAGAACGTCAGTCTCAAAATTCAGCTAAACCTCCTTCAGTGTGCTGGCACTGTGGTTCGTGGCATTTTGTCAAGTTCTGTCCTTTCAAGAAGCATAAATGCCGTAATTGTCACCGTTTTGGACATAAGGAGGGCTACTGTACACCGCAGAAAAATCCTTCGGTGAGGAACCGAAGTAGTCGTTTCGAGCCGAAACAATCTCCTCGAGCACAGACCATTTTCACAACTTCTAAAGTCGATTTCGCCAGCAAACGAAAGTACATTACGCTAGGTATTAATGGCAAACATATCCGTCTTCAGTTGGATACAGCATCAGATATTACCTTAATTTCCCGAACTACGTGGCGCATACTTGGGTGCCCACAGATTCTGCCGACCGAGCATGTCGCTAAGAATGCCTCTGGGGATATACTGAAACTCGTGGGTGAGATAAATTGCCAAGTTCAGTTTGGTGAGCATCACTTCAATGGTGTATGTTACGTTACAAACTACCATGATTTGGATTTGCTTGGTCTTGACTGGTTAGACAAGCTCCATATCTTTAATGTACCATTAAATTCAGTATGCTCTAATGTTTCGTCTTCACCACACAACGTTGTTCCCGGAGATGTATCTGATCAATCTCTCTTGCAACGCCTTCGTCAAAAGCACGTTTCTGTCTTCCAGGACAAACTTGGTTGCTGCAAATTTACCCAAGTTGTTTTGTCTCTAAAGCCAAACGCGAAGCCAATTTTTCGTCCAAAACGTCCAGTTCCGTATGCTGCTGTCACATTGGTTGAGAATGAACTCGACAGACTGGAAGCATTGGGTGTCATCAAACCAGTAACGTATTCGCCCTGGGCTGCTCCGATAGTTGTTGTACGCAAAGCAAATGGTTCCATTCGCCTGTGTGCAGATTTCTCAACTGGGTTAAATGATGCTCTAGAGGACCATGCTTATCCATTACCAATTCAAGAAGACTTATTCGTCAAACTTAATGGTGGAAAATGTTTTGCAAAAATTGACCTTGCTGATGCTTATCTTCAAATAGAAGTTGAACCAAAGTCTCAAGAGTTGCTAACAATCAACACTCATAGAGGTCTCTACCAGTTTACTCGCTTACCATTTGGTGTGAAACCAGCACCCGCAATTTTTCAGCAGATCATGGATACTATGCTTGCTAACCAACCTGGTGTTGCTGTCTACCTCGACGATGTGATAATCACAGGGAGTAGTAAGTCTGAATTGTTTGATCGACTTGACGCTGTGCTATCCAAAATGTCAGAGTTTGGGTTCTACCTTAAAGAGGATAAATGTACATTTTTCATGGATTCAGTAAAGTATCTTGGGTTCATTTTCGATCAACATGGACGTCGACCAGACCCAGAAAATGTACGTGCTATTCAGAATATGCCCGCTCCCACCAATGTTGCCACTCTGCGATCTTTCCTTGGCCTCATCAGCTATTACAGTGCATTTCTACCAGAGCTTCATCACATACGTGCTCCACTGAATCGCCTGTTATCGAAAAATGCAAAATGGAATTGGTCACCTGAATGTCAAAATGCATTTAAAAAAGTAAAATCGTTACTCCAGTCAGACATGCTGCTTACTTATTATGATCCAAGTCTTGAAATCATCCTTGCTGCAGATGCATCCGACTATGGTATTGGTGCTGTTATATCTCATCGTTTTCCTGACGGAAGGGAGAAAGCTATTGCACATGCATCTAGAACACTGAATACAACCGAACGCAAATATAGCCAAATTGAGAAAGAAGGTTTGGCGCTTATCTTCGCAGTCAAAAAGTTTCACAAAATGCTTCATGGTAGGAAATTCACCCTATTTACTGACCATAAACCCCTGTTATCGATATTTGGTTCGAAAAAGGGCGTTCCAGTGTACACTGCGAATCGGCTTCAAAGGTGGGCTGTCATGTTACTGGGATATAATTTTGATATCAAATACAAACCTACCTCTGAATTTGGCCAGGTAGATGCATTATCACGGCTGCTAAGCCATCAGAAGTTGGAAAGCGAGGATGTTGTTATTGCATCCATCTCTGTTGAAGATGATGTAAACAGAGTTCTGGTAGGCGCGACTCAACTTCTTCCGGTGACTGCAGTTGAGGTTGCCAGACACACACTGCGTGATCCAGTTTTACAGCAAGTATCAAAGTTCATCCGATTTGGCTGGCCTCCACATGTTCATTCAAATGTTTTAAAACAGTTTTACCAGCGACGCCAATCCCTATCCATCGTTAATGAATGCATAATGTTTGCTGATCGTGTTGTGGTTCCAGCTAATCTTCGTGACCATGTGCTTCGGCAGCTTCATATATCACATCCTGGTGTTGGGAGAATGAAGGCGATCGCTCGCAGTTATGTTTACTGGCCCAACATCGATGACCATATCGAAGACCTCGTTCGCAAGTGTAGTAAATGTGCTCAAGCATCAAAGTGTCCACGCAAGACAGAACTATGTTCCTGGCCACGACCGGACAAACCATGGTCCCGTGTTCATGTTGACTTCGCTGGACCGTTCAATAGTATGCATTTCTTAATATGTGTCGACGCGTTTTCCAAATGGCCAGAGATATTTCCTATGCATTCTGCCACATCAATTGCAACAGTGTCCCACCTACGTCAACTATTCTGTCGTTTTGGTATGCCTGATGTTCTGGTGTCCGATAATGGATCGCAGTTCACCTCATCACTGTTCTCAGATTTCTGCAAACAGTTTGGCATCCAGCATATTCGTAGCCCCCCGTATCATCCCCAATCGAATGGACAGGCTGAACGTTTCGTCGACACTTTTAAGCGTGCTTATGCAAAAGCGAAGGGGGAGGGAACAACAGAAGAAATTTTGGATAGATTCTTGCTGCATTATCGTACGACGCCAAATCCTTCCGCCCCAAATCAGTTATCCCCAGCGGAAATTATATTTGGCCGAAAGATCAGAACTGCCCTCGACTCAATTAAGCCTAGGCAAGTAAAGCAGGGCTGCAGAAATACAAAAATGGAAAACCAATTCAATCGCCATCACGGAGCTAAACGTCGAGTTTTCAAATTGTATCAGCAAGTTTATGTACGAGATTTTCGCTATTCACCTCCGAGATGGATTCGAGGACAAATAGTGGGGCAGAAAGGAAGGGTTTTATACAAAGTGAATGTAGAAGGACAGTTATGTGTCAGACACACGAATCATATACGAGATGCGTCAGATAGACTTGACAATGGGAGACGAGACCTCACGTTAGAAGTATTAGTAGATACATTTAATCTTCCGCAGCCGGAAGCCCGGGACACAGATCACACTCTATCCAGTACCATGCGAAGGTCAACTCGACAAAGAAGAGCTCCGAAACCTTTTCAAATAGATCCAAAAAGCAAGTCCTACACTCCTTACGGGGGAGGTGATAGGATCCCACATATTTTGGTATTGACTGTTTAAACTTGCATATATGGTATGTTATCATTCTCACACATTTTGGTATTGACTGCTAATTTTGTATATATGGTATATTATCATTCTCACGCATTTTGGTAGTGACTGTATCATTCTCACCATTTTGGTAGTGACTGTTAATTTTGTATATATGGTATATTATCATTCCCACACATTTTGTTACTGACTGTCAACCTCGCACATATGGTATATTATCATTTCTCACGCACTTTGTTATTGGCTATTAAGATAAATTATTTCAAATGCTGTTAGCTGTCCATATTGTTGTAAAATGTATAAATACCATGGCTTTCTTTATCGTTGTTGCACTTCAATACACAGTCACAGTCCAGCCTTTGTCTTTTGATATTTGCGTGCTTTACTAAGTCGGAAGGTACGACGAGCAGATAGACAGATTAGTTCAGGCGCAGACAGAATAAGGTGAAAACGTCTTCATTCAATTCCCTACAGTTATAACACAATGACGTCTCAAAAACGGTTAATGCCCAGCTCTTGTTACGCCGGGCCTCTCGCTGTCCCTCGAAGCCTTTCAGAAACGCTTAGTACTAACGGACGCAAAAATCAAAACACCGATTGGTGACTCGAGAATTCTTTATTCTAACACCGACATATGATCAGCATAATAACTAAGGTCTATGAACAAATATTACAATAATAAATCACGATATTACTTCTGACAGTTTTTGATCTTCTTTCTGAACAGCGACCGATGAGACGATAACTGGTGTATTGATGCCTCCGCGAAAATAAAGGGAAGTTGGGTTTGAGCAAACAACCGTGAATTGATCGTTCAATCTTCAACTACATTGACAAGAGATCCTATCAATATTTCATCATTCGGGTTTATAAATTCATAAGATTTTCTATTATTATCCTGGACGTATAATCCCAAATTAGTTGTGATAGCTGTTCCATAATAAAAGCAAACTGGTACTTTGTAATGTCTAAAGCATGCCATGTGAAAAGTGGCAGGAAAACCTAGCAGTAACAAACTCAGCCAACCAACTGTTTTCCTCAAGTTCATTCAACCTACCCTTATCCCTAATCGTACCACTATCCACTACACTCTACTCAGCAGATTATGACTTAATTTGCCCCGGTACTCAAAACTCTTCTACCTTTTACTTTTGAAGACATTTTAACAACAAACTGCGTAGTAACCATTTAACTGACTCACCGATTTTCTCTTCACTGTAATCTCCAATAAGTTCGCCAGTATAATTATTTCCAAAAACAATTAAATTAGCAACCATATCTTTTAATATTTTACATATATACTTATATTATTAGTATAATACACTGTACTATTTTTGAGTTGAAATGACTATCTTTAGTCAACAGTTAAAGCTATATAGTATTTTTCCATTATATAGTTGATGAGTCACTTAGCAATGTGTAACGCACACCATACAAAATCGGTCAGGAAAAGTTAGCATAACAAGTTCTGCTAACCAGTTGCTTTTCTCGGGACCACTTTACATAACTTTATCACTAATTGTTCCACTACTCATATCACTCTGACAAATATAATATAACTTCTAGCGTGCGCCGTTTGAAAGGGAGTGCTTTTTTCACGTATTTCACGTTTTTGACAAATCGCTGTTTTGTTGTGTTATTCACTTCAAGAACATTTAAAAAAAACTTTAACTTGACTTTTGTCTGTTAAGTTTTGATTTTAACCACTTATATAGTCTATATTGGGTAAATTGTCTTGGCTGTTTCCAGTAGAAGTTCATTATGTCAAAAGTACCACATAAATGTAATAGGGCGGAGTGTTACTTTTTGGTAGATGATGGAATACAGTGTAATAACTGTGAAAAGTGGTATCATAAGATGTGTACTGGATTACGTCCAGCTGCATACAAACGTTGTACTGCTCCAACATCCCACTGGATGTGCAGAATGTGTTGCTCCCCAAAGATGACCTTAATAAGGGAGGCTCACGAACTGCTGTCTAAAGCCATGGAACTTCCTGATGATAGCGTGGCTAGTAAGAGTGACACGGACTGCCCGTCTGAAGATGAAGCAGTAAGTGCCATCATGAATGTTATCACACCGGCGGTTACTATCCCAGTTACCCCGGAAGTAAAACCTACTAGGCGTTCGAAGCGTCTTAGTAAGCGAAAAGGTAACAAAACGGAAGCTGTAAACAGCATCTCAGAACCAGAGAACACCGTAAGCGAAGTTCACCATGAAGGTGGTGCAGACACTGATCTTGATTGTACCATCAAAAACTGCAGCAGCCCTGAGAAGCAACTGCAGGCAGATGATAAATGGGTAACAAAAATAAGCAGTCGGAAGAAATATAGTAATATTGATGGTAGGCAAACGTCTGTCACCTGTAGCCAGGCTGCATCAATAGTGGTGAGAAAGGACGTAGCCACTGCTAAATACGACAAGCTCTCCTTAGACTCTAACATAATTGTTGGAAATTTGGAAGAGTCCAAAGAATCTGATCCCGTGAAAAGGCACGATCACGACCTTAAATTAGTGAGTAGTATTATAAGGAAGATGCTCCCAGCGAATTTCCCTGGAGTATCGATTAAAAAGCTGATTAGAATAGGCAAAAGAGATGATGAATGTTCTAGTCAGCGTAGGTTGCTTAAAGTAGTCTTAGGTTCTCCTGATGAACGGAATCATCTACTGGCTAATGTACACAACCTTGCCGGGTCAGGAATTTCAGCCAGACCTGATTTATCTCTTGAAGACAGACTTAAACGAAAAGAAGTTTTGTCCCAGCTAGAAACAAGACGTAAAAATGGTGAGACTAACCTTAAACTGGTGGGTTTTCAAATAGTCAGGTCTTGGAAACGTATGCTTCCAAGACCTGTGTGGATAAGCCAGACCGCATAGGAAGCCTGAAGGTAGTGTACACTAATATACGTAGTATCGGGAACAAATTTCACGAGCTAGGTGTATTAGTAGAAGACCTTAGCCCAGGTATTGTGGCCATTACTGAAACATGGCTGGTTTCGGGATTAGATGACACACCTGAGCTATGCGGATTTAGTTGCTTGCGCAGCGACAGAGTTAAGGGTCGTAGAGGTGGCGGGGTTGCTCTGTACATCAACAACTCCCTACATGTTCGTTCCGTGAAATCTGAAGCTCATGACAGTGGGACAGGTGAGGTAATTAGCTGTGAAGTAAGCTTTGCAACCGGCACTCTACTCATTGGAGTTCTGTATAGAAGTCCCTATTGTCAGTGTGATGACTTCATTTTAGATCACCTCAAACAATGGAGTAAACACAGTAGCTGTCTTATTCTAGGTGATTTTAATGCACCTCATATAGACTGGGTAGCTGTCACATCTCCAGGATCCGCTGATAAGTTTGACAGCCGGTTACTCTTGACAACCATGGAAAATGCCCTGACACAACATGTCTTAGGTAGTACAAGATTCGGTTCTACCCAAGGATCTTCCTTGCTGGACTTAGTGCTTACTCATGACAACGACGACGTGGATGGTCTAGTTATTCATCCACCTCTAGCAAACAGTGATCATGGGGTGTTAGATTTTAACTTAAGGGCTGGCAATTTAGTCAGTTTTCAACCCAAATCCCGGCCTAGTGTTTGGCATGCTGACATAGTGGCTATAAAGGAGCGTGCTTCAACTGCCGACTGGTCAGTCAACATTGTCTCATCCATTGAAGATGAATGGGATAGATTTAAGAATACACTTGAGAGGGTTACCACTGATCTCATCCCCTGGAGGGTTCCTAAAAGGCCAACAAATCGGCCACCATGGATAAATAGACAAGCTATAACACTCCTGAGACGGAGAAAAAGGTTCTGGAATCTCTTTGTTTCTACTGGGCTACAGCAGTTCCGGCTGAAATACTGTGAAACCAGAAACCAGTGTAAAACTTTGATCCACCAGTCAAGGATAGCTTACGAAACCCAGTTAGTTAAAAGTTCACCAGGCTGCCCAAAAAGACTCTTCTCATATATCAAGAGAAGAACACGTAAGAGTGATGCTATCCCACCTCTTATGCTTGAAGATGACCAGACAAACATGGCTGAGGATAACTTGACTAAGGCTGAGGCTTTGTCCAAGCACTTTAGTCAAGTATTCTCTGATAATATTGATACCAGCTTTGTAAATTTTCCAGAAGGTAACTTGAAAATGGCACCCTTATACATTGGAAAGGATACTGTCCTAAAGTGGCTTCTAAGGCTCAATCCTGGTAAGTCCAGTGGCCCTGATGAACTCCACCCACGTATATTAACAGCATTGGCTGAAAGCATAGCCGAGCCATTGTCGGTAATCTTCAATATGTCTCTGGACCAGTCTAAATGTCCAAGAGACTGGAAAGATGCCATCATTAGTCCGGTCTTCAAAACCGGATCTAGAAACTTAGTTCAGAACTATCGTCCTGTTAGTTTGACCAGTATTGTTGTTAAACTACTAGAAAGAATAATTCGTGATGCTATCATTCAGTTCATTGAAGGGAACAAACTTTTCGCTGTGGAACAGCACGGTTTTAGAGCAGGTCATTCTTGCTTGACCAACCTTCTTTTGGCCAGAGAAAGTTGGGCAAGCTCAGCTGATGCTAATATACCGGTGGATGCCATATTCATAGACCTTAGCAAGGCGTTTGACAGGGTTTCTCATTCAGGTCTTCTAGTAAAGTTAGGTAGTCTGGGAATCAATAAAGTGGTTACCGACTGGATTCAAGACTTTCTAAAGGACAGAAGACAAAGAGTACGAGTTAACGGGGTTTTATCAACATGGGAATCGGTTAAGAGTGGCGTTCCTCAGGGTACAATTCTAGGCCCACTTCTTTTCCTGATTTATGTTAATGAGATTCCATCGGTAGTTAAGTCATCCTGCTTACTGTTTGCTGATGACATCAAGATATGGAGGGCTTTGCACGATGACAGTGATCAACTTGCTTTGCAGGAAGATTTAAACTTGTTAAGTGATTGGTGTAAGCACTGGGCCTTGGAGATTAACTTAAGCAAGAGTGTAGTTATGCATGTATCCCATAGTCACGTGCACAATTACTCAATGAATGGCATTACTCTCCCAGTGGTCACTGAGTACAAGGACTTGGGAGTGGTTGTGCAGCATGACTTGAAAACAGCAACAAACTGTAGAACTGCAGCCACTAAGGGTTTTCGAATGTTATGGGCCATACGCAAGGCTTTTGCGAACTTTGACGCTGATATATTTCGTATATTATATCCGACTTATATCAGACCTCATTTGGAATATGGGATCCAGGCAGCGAGCCCGTGTTTCAAATACGAAATAGACTTATTAGAAAGGGTGCAAAGAGTAGGAACTAAGCTAATAAAGGGTTTCTCAACCCTGTCATATGAGGAGAGGTTAAGTCGACTGGGTTTATTTCCACTGTCATACAGACGACTTAGGGGTGACCTAATACTAGCATACCGTATCCTAAGAAATGATTTTGGAGCTAATTTATCTAAATTATTTCTTCCTTCTAGCACCAACCAATTGCGAGGACATCACCTCAAGGTTCAAAAACCACGGTCGAATCGTCTGCGTCTGGAAATCCGTTTTTCGCATCGAATTGTGAACCATTGGAACTCCCTACCGGAACACGTCGTATCAGCGCCATCCGTTGATTCATTCAAGGCGAGATTGGACCTCCTGTATGCAATAAATCGAAAGGATTAACACAGGCATATAGCCTACTATCCTAAATAAATTGTAAACTGTAAACTGTAACTTGGTTGCTCTAACTATATCTATTTTTATACTTCATGGCTCTTAAGAGAAACTTAATTTCTTAGTCTTTTGTAGTAACCCACTTGTCCACTAGTACGATGATAATACTGCTAAGAATGTCCTCTGGTATAATTGTGCCCTGTGACCTAATGGAAAGCACTTGTCATGAAAGCTATTAATGTGCGGCATACTGTATGATTGGGACGGGGTCAAAGCAATGCAATATTACAACCGCAGTCATTGGAAAAGGTCTCAGAGCTTAATGTCAAAAAAGGACCCTAGCTTACTATAACTCTGAATTAAATCTCAGTAATTCTGAAATAATTCTAGCATCCTATAGTGAGTAAATTCTGAATCTGTTCTGAAATGGCACAGACTAGAACTCAATGCTGCTTTTCAGCTTGACTAGCACTAATTCAGCACGGTGTTCTTTTTTAGGCATTTTTAGGAGTAGATCAGAACCTACTGGGTTAGATTACCAGCTTCATTTCAGCCCTTTCAGATCATTTTTAGCACTGACTAGCACTAATTTAGAACCAAAAGACTGCTACTTATTATCATCACCTGTTTCCTAAGCCGGCGCAATTCATTTAGTTTACAGAAAAAATCAGTTTTTATAATCGAGAGACTTTTGTTTTTGTTTTGTTTTTGATTCATTTCTGGAACAGAAACCAGCCATTTTTACGGGCATGAACATATGTACATCTATTAGAACTTATAGAATATATAATATGATTTGTTAATTTAGAAATAAGTTGAATACTGGTAAATGTGAGAGAAACATTTAAAATGAAGTGTACAAATAAGGAAATAGATATAGCGTCAAATCTAAACTGTGATTCAGAAAAAATAGGTGTCAATTTCACGCGGGAATCATAAATGATTGCGTTAGTTGAGGAAGGTAAGTAGCATTTCTGTACAGGTGCTGACGTCATACATAAGAGATGCAGAATAAACAATAATTACCAGTAAATGATTCATAAAGTGTTGTAAAGTCTATTAAACTTTAAATTCAACCGTAAGTACACCATATTTGTGACATTTCCAGTTGTTTATGAGACCGACTTTGAACTTGTCAGCAGATTTTATAATATAGGTGGTCCCATTATTTGCCATGTAGCGGTAAATAATTCCCCAAAATTATTGACCACAGCACTCACTCATTGGATGCTGACCACCACTGTTTAAGTCGACTTGTTTAGTTGAAGGCTTCCGGTCAAGCATCCCCGCCATTTGGTACCCCGTCGTGTCACGTGCGCGATCACTAGCTAGCTAAGCGTTCGTCTAACGGCTTGTTTTGGTCCCGAAATGTATCACTTAGTTTGGACGATCAATTATTGGCTTTTGCTTTGTTTTCGGTACGCGAGAATAATTTAGAGGCTGTGTAAAAGAATTCCGTCAACCTCTAAAACCAGATGAGCTAGCAATATCACGAATAAGTGGAGAATAGTAGCGTTGTATCAGTACCTTCGTTGAAGGCAGTACCTTTGAAAAGAGAAGAAGACACAAGAAAACCGGCAGAAGTGCAGAAGTATGTAAAAGGTGTTAATAATTCAAAATATATAACAGACATGGATTTCATCATTATTTTTATTGTTTTTTCAAGAAATATTATTTTCCAGATATTCTACAGTCTTTTCTGCGAACGATTAGTTTAAGTGAAAGACAGGTGATAATTTTACCTACTTATGTAGATATAAAAGGAGTTAAACACAAAAGTCAGAGCGCGTGAGCTATGTAAAAGAAAAGCGAGGGCCTAGTAATATATGTTTTTCTGAAGTATACAGTTCGGTGTCCTTCTGAAGTAGAGGACTTATACCATATACTTTCATTCGGGAGTTTGTATTTAAACTTCGGCTCTAGGCAATTTTCAACTTTTATTTCTATTTTTAATTATTTTTTATTTTTACTTTTTTATTTATTCTCATTTTGCATATGTAAACTGTGGTACAATGTCACTGCAATTCCGTCAAGTGCGATCCACTAGTAGCATCCTGCGAATAAGCAAAATAAAAGATTAGTTGATGAAAAATTGTGCTTAGCACATTCTAATCATTTACATTTATAAAAGTGTACTTACATAACTGCCACTGTCATATCCCCTGGTATCTTTTTCATTTGCCTAAAAATGAAAACAATGTTGTGATTACTACATGCTGAATAAACTTTGACTCATAAGAGTAAGCAAGCGTTTCGCTGTATTACCTGAATTCCTTGCTTCCGCTGACGCCTTTGGACACGATCTTTCAAATTATGGAAGTACAATTTCGTGGCCTTGTCCATTATGTCACCAACCTCTCTCGTCGTCATTAGTTGGCCGGAGAAATACGCCATAACTACAGCTACAGAACTAAGTACTTCACTAATGAAACTTCTCATTATTTTATAAAAGGCATAAGGCACAATGCTTGACTTTGTCAAAGTCCTCTGGAATGTAAACTTCAAACCCACTTCAGGTTTTAGAACATGATGCATCATGGCCTTAAGTGATAACTTTGGATCACTCTGAAGGCGGTTAACCATCCAAGCAGTCTACAAGAAATGAAAATTAAATATGTCAACTCACATATTGCTGTTTGTAGTCGAGGGAGGGTGGCGCATACTGATCAGCAGATTTGGTAGTGGTCACAAATGTGAATCGCTCCTATCTGTAGGACAGCAACATGCATTATTTTGGCAGCTCGAGAATTAAACAAGAGTTTAGATCCTCAATATAAAAAGATTAAATTAACTTTAAAAGAGTTGAAAAAACTAAAACAAAACTGAACAGATTTAACTTATAAAAAATAACGCTTTTGCTCCTAACATCTACAAGCCTGCTCAGTTTCTTGTCAAGATGCTACCCCATGGGCCATACGCAAGTTCGCCAGGCATCTTACAGGTCACCATATCCAACAGGCGTTAATCCTTCAAGCCACTTCTCTCTGGAATGTCACTTATATACTTCACGACAATCCTACTACCTAATTACTATTATACTATATTTTATCTGAACTTCCTAGGACTTTAATGAAGCTGAATTTTACTTTTTTTCTCATTCACACTCTTCTCTCGCATAAAGTTCGGTTGCTCTGATGATGAAAACAAAAGTATAACAACAACACTCATGTTTGAGAATAACTATATTTTCATGGAAAATGTCATAGTTTTTCACGGTAAGACCAATACTGTTAGCGTCATACATTGCAAATGTGTGATATCATTCCAAGTACTGTAGATCTTATTCTTGTATTTTTCTTGTAAATATACTTCCAATAATGTATTATTCATGATTGCATGTTACACCACTTTGCAGCTGCGCAGGATTTTCTCCTCCTCCTGAAATAGCGTTCAAGCACGTATGGTCATAGCACTCACTCAAATATATGTTGTTTGTCGATGGGCCATTACTATCATCAGGGAACGGAACCAAGTTTGGGTTGTCGCTCAACTTCGATGGACACCTTAGTGAAAGATTTACAAATTAACAAATATAAGAATCTGTTCCGATTGTTTGTACTATAATTCAACAATTTGAACTTTTTAAAAAAGCGATAATGTATGGCAGCTCACAATTATAATTCGTAACATAATTGATCGTGTCTGTAAAAATGGCATGCATTTCATGTAAACTTACTCGTTTATACGAAATATATTATTATTACCTAATTTGGATATGACTTATTAATTGTTGAACAGTGACAAGAGAGTTTTATCAAGCGTTTATAAGCCGATTATCTTCCATTCACGTATCCTTCAGGCCGTTGACAGACTATTTCTGAGCTTATTCTTGAAATATAATTTGAAGTCGCGATTGCCAGCAATGATGATACTTCATGCACTTAGCTGAGTAAATTTAGATCATTTTCATGACATTTCCTCACCTGTAATGTGTTTTGGAAATCAGAGTAACTGTAAACTTTTATAACTTATTCCAGTGTATAATTATACCAGAGATTGTGCCTATAGAAGTACCATGTGAGATTGCTTTGAATTTTTGAATAAGTGATTATTATTGCCACAAGGTTTAGAACTCCTAGCTACTGACAAAATGCATGCCTCTTACCCTCAAATAAACGCAGTGATAGTGTACGTCCAAACGTGTATCGTCATTCTTTAGTATTGCCCTTTTCCTTGAGTCGATAGCCGGAAGAAATGTAGAGGTGCGAATTCGCTGAGCGTCTGCCTAACAATTGAAACATTTATTTTGCGACATAAATTTAAAACAAGCAACAGGGGTTTAATGAATTCTTCAAAAGTCGGTAGAACTCAACAGCTGAATACTCTACATTTACGGATTTTTACTTTTGAAATTATATTGGGGGTTACGAAACTGATAAGCAAAGAAACCACATTGAGTTAGTCAAGGAGGGAGACATTTGCGAATGTTTTCTAGGTCATGCTCAAATAGATGGGGGGAAAAGGAGTTTGAGAGATTGGAATTGAGATAAAATGCATTACGCCTCGATTATATCATTTAGATGAACAATTAGTCTATCTATTAAATCAGTTGGTTAGGCTGCTTGGACGACTTGGACAGGTCACTCCTATCACCGTCCTAACTAATGAAGGGAGAACACTACTCTTACAGCATTTTGAAAGTGCGTTCATTGACGATGGTATGGGGAAAACCCAGAGATACAAAGTCACACCACAACACACAGTTGAGTTCTTGTTCCTCAGTAATCCAAGTATCCACGATCTGATCCAGTCAGTATAGATAAACTGACTACTAACCGTGAGGTGGCGTATATTCGATTGAATGAACGAACTCCTTTAATCCTATGCATCTGCAACAGTTACTCACACCAGAGACATAGCGGATGTTTGCCGTCAACTTCGAAATGCTGTCCACTTAATGTAACTTACATGTACTGTCTGTCTCTAATTTTGTAGAGGACGTACAGAAAAGTATGTGTGATCCATGTAAACAGCAAACTACCCATATTCAGCGAAGCATCGGAAAAGTTGATGGTGGGGCGTTGACTACCAAAAGTTCTGTGTCGCGTCGCCCATTCATACAGCTCCCCGGACTGGAAGGCAGGTGTTCGTGTGCCATTCACAAGATTATGTGGGATATTTTCGACAGCCATGGCCTAAGAATTGGCAGAAATGCTGAGGGGAAGATTATAGCGTGCATGTTCTGACATGATGGCCATTTTGCAGACCGAATCTTCCCATCGGCCACTGAAGGAGGTTTTAGTTTACTGTGAAGACGTCCTAACAGCCTACCAGCAGGTAGGTGATATCATGTGACCATCCAGAGTTTGTAAACGCTTTCGAGCCTTCTGTGGTCGTACTTGACGTTTTGCACTCACTTATTGGAACATTCTTCACTGGACGTAAGACCGGCCCACATTGTAGAATAATATAATGTTAACAACTCAACATACATTGAAAAGTGTGAAAATATATGACAGACGTTAGCACTAGAAAGTTTTCAGTTGTCTGAAGAGTTCTGGGCAAAAGGAAAATGCTGTATTCAGTGACTTTGTATCTCAGAAAAGTCACTGAGCTGATGCTAATCTGGCACTTGGCTAGACTGACCTATAATAGATACCCTGACAGTTTGCTGGAAGCCTATTTCATTTAATTAGGATGTTTTCATGCATGGACTAGGAAACAGAATGCCACCGAGATGATCATTAGAGAAGCGTGTTCTTCTCAAAACTCTACAATATCTGTGGGCCTTTGTACAGATAAGAGGTCTCGTGAAGAAGCCCTGGAAGACCAAAAAGTGTGTTGACTGTGGTTTTCGAGATGTCAAAGGGGCCAAACGGGCTCTGATACTGGGCGTGTCTGGCCAGGCCTACTGAGCGCAGACGTATGCTTCAAGGCCGTAGTCAAATCTTGAGTTTGTGGGACTGGAAAGTGATCTGTCATCATTTTAGATTTCGACGAGTGATCACCTCAAGAACTACACTTTGTGCTGCTAGTTTTAGACCCAAATGCGGTGGTGAATACCACTGTTGGTTGATCAGTAGATATGGTGCGGGTCACTAAGGTGAATCGCCCCATTCTGCAGGAACAGCAATATGCAATTTGAAGGCTCGAGATATTTCTGATTTTTATGAGGGCATAGATCTTTATCTTGAAAAAGATAATAATGAACGCCTTGACAGATCATGCTTCTGCCTTTAAATATACACCATTCGCTCAGCCTATTGTTGAGATGCGACCATGTGGGCTCTGCATAGATTTATGGGGCATCTTATAAACTAACTTGCTGTCCATTGTCGGATCTTTAAATACCACTTCACAATGTCTCATCTCCCTTATTTTCTAATAACGTCCTTACTTGATCCCCATTACATTCCATTAAACCTAACATTTTATAGCTCTTTATGAATTTGTTTCAACTTATTCTATTCCTATTCTCTGTAGGGTACGGTTGTGCATCGAATGCACAAAAAAGCATGAAATAAAAACTACTGGCTTGAAAATAATTGTATTAAAACCAAAAGTGGACATCATGATAGTACAAACTATACGGTAAGAATTATACATTGCAACTGAACGTTGTCAGCCTGTAAAGTTTCCTTTATAAATGCATTTATGAATGATACTTACGCTTACCTATTTCATTGCCCTTTATTTATTCACTTTAATTTTTCTAAAACAGCTTCCATTCTCTTGTAGAAGTTGTACTTACCGCAATATTGGTCGGTTATCGTATGCTTACAACAACGGGATGAAAACGAAACGAAGTCGATTTTCCCGCGCAACCTGGAGGACAACTGGACACTTCAATAACTATACGGCCTGGTTGAGACAATGAGTGTCTTTATATATGTATCAAATATTTAACTGTTGAGACATTATTAACTCGTAGACAATATACGATTTGAGGTTATATCATACTTGATCGTGCCAGTAAAAATGGCATGCATTTTCATGTAAATTTATATGTTTATATGAGAATACACATTATTATTATTGTTTGTTGGATGACCTCCACGTTAATGTATGTTCCAACTCAGGCTTGAAGACCTCAATTTTTACTGTAGACAACTGCCACGACTTGGCGAACGCAAGGCAGCTGATCGCCATGATGCCATGAGAGGGGTAATTCATCACACATGGTGTTTAGCTACTGGGTGTGGAAACTTCGGGAAAGAACTGAAATGTGAATTATCCAGCATGGAATAGGTAGAGGCGGTCTATGAGAGAATGCATAGGTTTGTGGCGAACCTTAGTCTCTCCTAGCTAATATCCCAAATTCTAACAGAAATAAAATGCCAAATCCGTAAAGCTACTGGAAGAATATATTAAACCTTGTTACTTGAGGGTTATTACAAGGTCCAAATCCACAATTAACTTAGTAAACTCCAGAAGTATTGTGCGAGATCTGCTTCCATCTTGATTCTCCTATATTAATATTGCCAGAGGTTGGCTAAGGTAACGTAGGGAGAAAACACTGCGTTCCTGCGAAATTTCGAAATAGAAGGTAGGTAATTAGAATTGGTCGGTTGCGGTTGAGATGGTGGAGAAGACGGTAGAATTATATTTTCGTTCAAACAACGAGGTTAAGTACAAAGTACAGAGATTCTGGTTTAAACAAAGTAATGTACGATATGTTCATTTCTCACATAGTAGTAAAATTGGGTAAGTTTATTTCTGAGGACTCCACAGATTGTCCGCAGTCATAACTGTTTGAAGAATGCGCAACCAACGTTGAAGAAATAAACGACTAGCCACTTCACTTGACGAATCATCTAAATGGAATCGAGATTGCCTTGATGTAGTTCTTTGAGGGGCTTTTCAGCTTCCCTTGACTCATGATGGTATCTGACTTGATAAATGTGGCTTTATGACTGTCCTGTATGTTTCAGGGGGATCACCAGGGATGACCGAAATAACCCTGAATAACCTAATGATTTCAGGGAGCCCATATTAACTAAGTCAGAACTAGTTTCGTGTGCATGGATCTGCCTCGGAACCAACAGAGCTTTTATTTAATCTGTGATGTTCTGCATGTTAGAGTGGTAAGATGGTAGAACGTAGGGGTCAGTCGCTCGAAGGTGTCGTTCTCATCTATTGTTCTCATAAGTTCTATTGGAAAAGAAGGGAGTACCATAATTATAAAACAAACCATATACACAAATTCCAAAAATAGTAACGTGCAACATAAGATTAAAACATGATGGTACCAACAAAGTATTAACATCATTGACAGACCAAATCCTAGGTGTTACAACAAAAAGTGAGACTGGAGTCAGCTACTTGTAAGGAACCGCTGGTGTTCTAGATGTGTTACACCATCACTCTTACCAAGCGTAACGTGCTTGAGTACATAACCTGTCAGTAGCCAGATGTATCTACAAGTACTGATAATAGAAGCTGATAAAAGGTTTTGGCAGTTTAGTAGTATGCTTTGTGTAACAACATATTTAGGAACAGTAAATATGGTGATTATTTCGAGAAGATTTTGAGACGTTTATAACCAAAATGGCTGGACTACCGTCACCGGGATTGTCCGTGTTTTCAGCACAGACGAAACTGCAAAAGAATACCCTAGGCCGGTTGAAAACAAATTCTAAAGTACCTATGTCATCGGTAATTGATAAGAAGGCTTTTTGGTTAATATCTGGTTAATTCAGTCCCTTACAATCTAGTGACAAAATTAATTGTTGAAAAATATATGTCTAGTTTTACACATAAGAACATTCCTGATTGAATTTTAGGGCAATTCGATCATGAGAATTGATTCCGAACGCACAAATAACTGATCATCATGAGCTGGGGAAGTCAGTGACTACCTTTCATTACTATGGCCCTGAATACATAAGCCCGAAAATTAAACGTACTCAGCATTTATCTAGAAACTCAGTACAACAAAATTTGTATTTCTTTCATGTTCACAGAATGTATATCTCCACACATAGAAAAATATGGATTGTTCGAACTATATGGCTGTCAACGTCACTTTTGGCCTCTTAATTTGTCTCAAGGTCTTCCGAAGGTCAAAGGAGGGGCAGTATGGTTGTGAGGGTAGGGAGAGTAGTTGTTGTATTTCCAACCGATAATTGATATAGGTTAATCCAAAAAGCCAGATTGTGAGTAGTTATGATATATTTCTCAAGGCTTTGAAGACAGAATCTGTATTTGATGACAAAAATGACTTTTTGGATGTTGTATATTGGTTCCGGCAAGTTTTCGCTGTAATAGTAGGTGTTCTTTGGGGCTTAGCTCCATTTACCGGTTTTTTGGCGATTCTTATGTTCTTTGTAACCAATGTTTGTTTTGTTTATGCCTATGCTGCTGTTTACCAACGTGTTGATGAGGACGAATATGGTGGATATGGTGAGATTGTAAAGGAAGGATTAATGACAGCTTTCGCATCCTTCATGGTATCCTGGATACTTACTTATGATTGTGTTCATGGAGTTAGCAATACAACTTGGTAACATGACAATACCAAAACCTGTAATATATGTCGCAGCATGCTTTGTACAATATCCAGATTGATTTACTTAACAATATATTGTATTGTACTATAGTACCAAATTCATCTTTTTATTTGACCGATCGTATAAAATATTTACCAGAATTGCTTGTTTTAGGCATAGTCTGTCATCACAGTGTGCTGTATTATGTCATGGATATCAAACATGAGACAAAATGAGTTATCATATGTGATATATGTACGTGGATGTCCAGCTGGAGATGAATCCCTGAGTTTTCGTGAAATTCTGGAAATAAACTCAAAGTCTACGTTGTTGTTATTAAAATAATAGTCACTGTCTTTACTTAACAGTGTGACACTGTAATCTGATCATGCTGAACAGCACCTCCCACTTTCGTATGCTTCTTGGTAGTGTCCCTGATATCACGAGGAATGAACGTTACCAACTTATGGCCAACTTTCGTTAAGACATAACAGAAAACATACTGTATAGCTCTGTATATGAGAATGTGTACAAGACTGAAATTGGATTTGGTACAGAACGCGATGGCCATATACATCATTCTGTGAGCTACTTTTATGTGGTTTGTTTTTGATAATTCTTTTATAAGCAGAGTTATGCGGAGAGTTCTTGGATTGAAATGTTTGTCATCTTTAAATCTAGATGGTTGGAAACAAACAAGGTATTTGAGATCATCTTTAAAATTCTGAGGTTACCTGTTTAAATTTATTCGGAAAGTTGTTAAATTATTTAAAATAATTTCAATATTCACACGTTTTTGGCTTGCACGAAGCATTTTTTAGTCAGAAAGTCAGAAAAGTGGTTCGGTGAAGATAGTCTTTTCAACGAGATTTTTATAAGGGTGTGAAATCATATGTACTTTATAGAAATAATCAATCGAAAGTATCAACCTGAGAAGACACGAAGTCTTGTGGTTATAATTGATACGATTATGAACAATAAACTTTGTTCGAAACGTCATCCAGTAAATAATACTGTTTCACTGTGTGATACATCTAATAAACAAACTAATATGTAATTACTTAGTACCACAGTGCCGAAGTTTTACACATATATTAGTCCGAATATGATCTGATCAACATGTCGTTTTGCATAGTTGTTTAAAACGAGTTTGGTTCAATTTGTTTATGTCTGTGTGACTTTGAAGTTTATGCATAAAGCCGGTTGAGTACCTACACCATGAATTCACTGGCAAAATATGAGTATATTTCAATTGGTTTGTTGTCTATGCAGCCCATCGTCAAGTTAGTTTTCATGATTAGAAATAATTGGTGACTCTCACTACTTATGATTGATACTGATGTTTCAAAGTAAGCACCACAAGTTTTCGCGGTTCCAAATGTAATCATTTAGACGTGTTACATTTTATGATTGTTAAAAAGTGATGCTTTCATTATTGTTGTATGTATACACCGATTATCATTAATCCCAGTTAAGACATTTCACCGCAGTGATTTCAAACACTAATAGGCAGGTGAACGTCTCGATTAGACAAGTATATTCCAGAGGCCAGACTTAAAAATAAATATCACATTACGTTATTCCCTGAGTATCCTGGTCTAGTGGAGAGTAGATGGAGCCTGGCCGTAATCTTGATATACTGTTATATAGCCACACATCCACGGCCCCTATCAGGAATGTTGTTCGCATTACCTTCATTTGGTAGGAAGTGTTTTATAACTGACCTAGAGATGCCTTATCCCAAAATGACACTGCACATGGGCTGAGGGATCCGGAATGATAGATTAGTGTATGGGTCCATTTGGTTCACACTTAAGCGTAGGGATGTAGCACATGGCTTCGCTTAATTATTCTGCTGATTAGAGTTTATGTTAGATACTTGTGCAGTGGTCCCCTAAGGTAACCACCTGTTTCAATACCTTTTGTGATATCAACTCTGCTTTTAAATAAACTATCAAAACCGCCTGTACAAGTACTAAGCAGAAATGCAGAAGGGTGAGTTTTTGGATATAAAATTGAGTAGATAGACATGAGTTTTGAATATTCACAAATTCTGAGTTCATTTTTTTCATTTAGAAAGGGTAAACTAGAGATACTCTAACAAATTAAGCTAAAGTGAAAATGAACAGAGTTTTGCTGATAATAATAGTCGAAATTTCGGTTATTATAGATGATATTGTCTCATGTCACCGATATTCAATAAGTAATACTTTCTTCTTGTATTTAACTGAATCACAAACAAAGCAGGCCAATGGGGTATTGAATCCATATTGGAATTTGATAGTAAGAAGCGAAATAAATAACAGGCATATATCTGGAAAATTAATTGGATAAGAGCTGCTAAGAAGTGTGATGTTTTAAATGCACTTGTATCTCAAGGATTAACTCTAGGCTTTATAACCTGGGCCTTTTTGTTAGTGACGTTTTTTTAAGTATTATGTAGATAAATGCGGTTACTGGGCACTTATTTTTTAGTTGTAGACTAAGATTGTGGAACTTTTTCCCATATAACTTATTTGCACCGAGTCCTAATTTAATTTCAGAGAGTGGGTAGGTAAAGTGGTCAAATGCCTTAATAGACTGGCCTGACCGATAGCTGCTACCTTAACGTGGTGGTCGGGCTTGCATATTACAATGACCCACCAACAAGCTGCACTGGCTGGAATTAATGTTCCTGCAGCTCCTACCATGCTAAGAAGGTTGTTAAGATTCTACTAAAAGCAGTTACTAGCATAGTGTAAGATTTTTTTACACTATTCCGGAGGTCTGTGAACAAAGTCGTACTGCTGGGAAACAGGGATGTAACAACAATAAGGTGTTTCCCTCAAATGACCAGCATTTCAGCTTTGATGTTACTCTACTCTGGAGAGACGAGGTTAGGAAAGGTTGACCCAAAAAACTGTACATCCCGATATACCCTACGGTGGTCCGTAGCCGGCGGTAAGTTACTAATACAAAACTAAACCAAAAACCCAGTTCAGCAGGCCTTAAGCTGTTCTCTCCTTGGCTCTGCGGTCATGCAACACTAATTCATGGCGTGTTGACTGTGTACTGGCTCTACCAGCTTGTAAACAACTTACATATGTCAAAACGAAAGAATTCGGAAAGTTGAAAGTCTATTACACAACAGCTGGACCATATGATTCACAGTTAGTTACTATCAATACACTAAAAATTCTACAAATGATGTCAGCATAATATACATTTGTACTTCTGAACATATTGCTCTGGTCTTCTGTCAATGAGCAAAAGTCTAAGCCACGAAAAAGATTGTTGCCTCCAACGAACAGGAAATTGGTTCCGATCATAAAGTTCACTAAGTATCCAATCAATTTTCACCATCACTGACAGATTATTCAAGAGCTTTACAGCCTATTTCATTATGTCACGGCTGAACAAACTCGTGACAATCCATTTGTACAAAGCATGAAAATAGACCAGATGGTAAATATAGTATTCAAGTTTTATCAGGTGAAAAGTCAATTACTATTACCCCTACTAATACCAACGCTGACAACCTAAACAGTTCCGAGTGTATTGATCGCGGTCACTTTCGTAGTGTTGGTTACAAGACTTCATACTCTTAGGATTGTCAACCTGTATTCTTCGAGTTCAAATAAGCGTTTTAATAATTTTTATTCATAACTACTTGAGAATTAAAACCACTGGACTAGAGAGTAATAAACATTTTATCAGATGACTTTTTGTTCAGCTTTTACACTTTCGTGTTCATGCTCATTAGAGAACTGACACATCAGTAAAAGAATCATTGATAGCCCAGAAGTACTGGACAGTGCTTTCGCCTTAGTTTGTGGTATTTGCTTTTTGTCTGTCTGAATTCAACATAGAACTTGGCACCGAAGTGCAGCAGTTCGAGTTGCCACGTTCCAAATACCACACAAAGGTAGACAAGAAGATGAGTGAAGAGAATCAATAGAGTTTGACAGGTGTAAGAGCGAAACAGAATGGGTAATGGTAGAAAGAAATATGAAAGATTACAGAGACTGAATACATCTGCGCTGGCCATTGACAACGATTTTGAGCCATGTCACGTATTGTCTCTAGCCATTGATTCCTAGAGTCCCGAGGGCCCCAACCGGGAAGTCTGCATCTCCCTACCTGACTCAGTTTAACTGTCAAGGATTTCATGGATTGTTGAGGTCATGTTTTTGTTTGACCACCACTTACTCTTCTCCAACCTGCACCTATATCAGCTAGTAATACCCGTCGGGGAGGGGGAGGCGATAGTTAGGAATGCGCAGCACGTGACCTAGCCATCTCAATCTATGTAACTTTATAGCCTCGTCGATTGATTTTCCCTGTTTGCCCAACACTCTACGTGCAACGTCAACATTACTTACCTTATTAAACCACCTAACGTGAGACAGAGATCGCAGACATCTATGATCGAAAGCAGTCAACCTTTTCATGTCTTCAACTCGTATTGGCCATGTTTCAGAGCCATAGAGAAGGACGGAGCGAACTGATGAGCAGTACACACGTCCCTTGGTTGGTTGATAGCCGGATGTCACGCCTACGCCAGAGATGGTGTAAGTCAGCGAAAGCAGCTCGAGCTTTTTGGATCCATGCTGAGATTTCGTCGCCAATCAGTCCGTTGGTGCTAATACAACTTCCCAAATAGGTGAAGTGGTCAACATGTTCTATCACTTCACTCCCTATCACTAAGCTAGGAGTTGACGTAGTCCAGTCCTGTATCAGCATCTTACATTTTACAGGGGTGAATCGCATGCCAAACATACGAAGATTGCTGCTCAGCTCAAGGTGTTCAGAAGACTCTGCATTTTGTCAGCATCCTCCCCTAACAGGACTATGTCATCTGCATATTCTAAGTCCATAAGACTATTCCCTGGTAACAAGTCGATTCCTAAGTCGTTACGTTCAGTTAAGGATACTTCCATTAGCATATCTATGATGAAGTTAGACAGGAATGGGGAAATCGGACATCCCTATCGGACACCACTGGTTTTTATCAATTCAGATGACAATTCCCCATAAGC